TTCAAATGTCGAGGCCGAAAGAATATTTTCTATTTTAACAGATGTTGAAAATTACAAAAGAAACCGATTATCTAATGATACCGTTGCTTCAATTTGCGTAGGTTGGTTCAGCTTTCAAGCCGAAATATTAATTGTACAAATTTTGAAGTTGATTCGAGACATGTCCATAATTAACCGTAAATAATTTCCGTCACCTATTGACGCTATTGGCCCCACTGTGCGACGGCCTAGCTACCTTGTGGAAACGGTGCGCGGCGACAGAATGCACCGGTATTCCCCGTCACGGAAGGTGCTCGTCCCTTTGTGTATCGAATTGTACACGGCCACGGTAGCGTTGCAAGGTGCATGGAATATCAGTCAGAGCGTGTCTCATTATCCGGTGACTTGGTGATACAGATTCAACGAGGCGAGGGCGACTGTTACGCGACACTGTTGTACACTTTTGGTGGCTGACGACTTGAACGTTTGCTCGTCGGTGGGATTGTTCAGGTTTAGGTCCAAGGCTCGAGATACGAGCTGGTGCTTGGTAAAGAACAAGCAACCTTTGAGAGATTTAATTTAGAAGCGGATAGATTACGATTTGTTTATTATTCAGGAAATTTTAGTTCGAATAATCGAAATTGAGAAAATACTTGTTGGTCTGGTATTTTTGAAATTCTTTTTCTTCGATGCTTATAGTCAGACTCAAATATTCATATCCTCTATGTCTACTGAAAAAAGTTGAAATCAAATGGTAGGTTGGATGTTTTCAAATAAATGTTTCACTATTAATATATGCAATTTATTCATGTACTTGTTACTGAAACATTTATGTGGAAACATCAAACCTATTAGTTAATTTAGAGAAATTTCTTCGATAAACATACAGAGTGCGAATACTTGTGGGACTGAATCAGTATTAATAAACTATTTATGTAAATAGTGTATGTATGTTATATAAACTATGTAACTTGGTATTTTTCTAACAGAATGTAATGCAACGTTTGTAATGGTAAATTATAAAACCTAGAGAAATCACGACTTTATTTGGGCACACTTTGGCACTATTACCATTGTTTAGTGGTTGGATTTTAAAGTGACCGAATTTTGTCGTAATCTTTGTCGAGCCACAAGAGTCAACCATGGACTTGGAGAGTTTATTATTGTTTGTCAATAGCAGTTCTGAACGCCAGAGTTTGGGAGAACGTGATCGAGAGGACTGCGGTCCTGTTTTCCAAATTACGGACACGTGCCACGTTTCCGCATAGCGTACCTGAACCATGCGACAAGATCTTGTGGGTCGAATGCAAAATTTAGGAAATAGGAATGTCCTCGTTGCTGTTTCTATGGTTACACTTCCATCTACACCCTGCTAAGAATATACAGGAAGATGGATTTGGAACTGTAGTTAAGATTTGTCGTATAAAAATTATTTAGGTATAATATTTAAATGATTTAAAATGAAATTGAATTTAAAATGATTAAGAATATTCTAATTAAATTATATGGTACCTCTTTTCAATTAATTTTATGAGATTGGGGATGTAATATTGAAAATAAATATAAGCCTATTATAATTTGATTATGTGTTTATTAATAATTTTTATCCTATATTATTTCATAACTGGCTTTGAATCTTTTAATTTTCTTCAATCATCCTAAGTTTTTCTTAACTTAGATTGCAATACTATCAACCTCCCCTTCATCAAATCCTCAAGGTTGGTACGCGAAGAACATACATAAATCGAGAAATGCACCAGATATCAAAGAATTATGCGTCACACTTTATCCTAAATAAAACAGATGATATCGTTTAGATATTTTCATGACGTGTCTGGAGTGCAGACTCTGGACCTGCATGAAGCAAATTTTGCTATGAATTTCTATGAGACAGATGACGCTGAAAATGTAATGCGCACTAATGATAAGCACATGAAGTCATTGAAGCAGTGACATGGCGATTTATACTGTTCGAGGCTTCGGCGTGCAGGTCCCATACTTTGGAGCAGCCTTACAATGTTTGCAATCAGGATTGCAGACATAGTCTCATTAAAAATCAACTGGCCTCTAAAAGCCACTTTCTTAGCAATAAATCACATTAGACGCGACTCTTTCGAACCACTCGAGCTTGTCTCTCTGTTTAACCCACTGACATCATAATCTTTTTCTCCCCTACTTTCACTGTAGCATCGAAAAATTGTCAATAATAGGATATATGTTCTTTATAATTATTATTTATATTTCGTCATTTAATTTGCTGTTTCTTGAATCTGTAGTAGAGCAATTATTTCTTTTTAGCTATTAGTATAATTATATTTGTATTCAAGGCTTTATTATGCTTAAAAATGGTTCCTGACTGTATATGAAAATGTTGCAATTAAAATATTTCACTATTTTCTTTCAATTTTCTGTTTCTATATAATCCATATTACAGTGACTATTTTTTCATTAGACTACCAATTATTATTTTCTGTATCGAAAGCTTCATAATGTTTGAAAATGGCTTCTCGCCCAGATGTTGAAACATCTCAATTAAACTGCAATATGGGCTTTAGTAAAACGTTCATCGCAGGCTGATCAATGACGATATAATTATTCATTCTTAGTTATTTCTACTTTCATGTTAACTCTGTATCGCACAACCTAATCGATTGGGATCAACAAAAACATTCCCTATGAAGTTTATTAAAGAAGTTTCACAAAATTTATGAATGGGGACATTTAAAATTGCTGTCACCAGGTTCAGTTACTCATCGATCGGTATGAGTATTAATTAATTCACGGACTTAAAAATACGAATGGAATAATTTGTTTTTTGAACGATAGAATAAAATTCATTCGATAGAGGGGATAAAAGTAACTCAATTTATATATAATCATCCTATTATATAGGGTGGTTCTAGAAACCGAGTAAAGCTCCAGAGACTTCATAAACAAGGATGCCAAAAAACAAGCGTAATTTAGAATGTATGTTTCCATAAATACAAATGGATATTAATCACGTGTTCCAGGAAGCTATAAGGCTCCTGAGGCAAAGCTCTCCTGTTCTATATACGGGTCACGGACTCCTCAGCGAGGACTGCCCTGACCCACATATGTATAATGTAGATCAGGGAACGTGTTAATACGTAGACGTATAAGAAATTGCACTCATTTATTTTCAACGAAAGTGATTAATAATGCACACTTGGCAATTTATTATATACAGAATGATAGACAGAGTGACTCGAGAAACTGGGGCGGGCTGTGGATCTTCTCTAAGATGATGGTACACAAAATTGATGCAAGGAAAATGCTTAACTATTTTTTGATGACACCACGTTTTGGAGTAAGGTGCTGTTGCACCTGCTTCTTGACATCTTTATTTAGAAAGGAATTACTGCTTCTAGAACTGTTATATTCGATACATCATTTCTTAACACTAGAATTACCTGGAGTTCATGTATTAGGTTGTCCCAAAAGTTTCTTTCGTAATTTGCACTGAATTATTTGTGCGGTAGTGTTTATATAAATAGACAATCTAATTTCTTAGATGTTGATGTTGTACCAGTAATGGAGCAAAATGAATCGTACACAATTCAATAATGTAACATTAGACATAAAATATTGTGTATGTATTATTTATTAATAAAGCTAAAGAAATTTTTGGGACAATCTAATACTATGGACTTCTTTGTAAATCACTGGATTAATGACAAATTAATGTTTTTGCTGAATTTTTGGTGAAAATGATTGGAACAAGGAATTAATTAAACATCAGCATTCACGCAAGAAATTATTCCACTGTTATTTTTAAGTCCACGATTTAATTAATATTCAGACAGCAAGAAGTTAATCCAGGTGATATTGTTATTAAATGTCCCTCTAAAAGAACATCTAACACAAATCTCATAAAACTTTTTAAACAAATTTTACAGGTATTGTTTTTATTGGTTCCCACCGATGTGATTGTAGAAATGGTAATTGCAATTGCAGTTGTCGATGAACGAACCTAACTGATCTACCTGTCTATTAAACGATCATTTATGTCAGTAGATTAACAGAAAGATGAACGATACCTTCAAAGTTTCCTGTTAAAGATGAGAGACGAACTGGTGAGGCAGTTAATAAATAGATTTAGCCTCTCAGAGACCTTCGGTGTTCATCACTCCTGACCTTCTAAGACAGCTGAAGGTTTAATAAATTTAATTCAATTTCACAAAGGGACATGAACGCCTCCAATGAATAGCAAGCTTCAGAAATAATTCAACATTCTGCCAGCAACATAATCAACAACACACAAGCAGTTGAAGGCTCTACATACTCTAGCTACACATGAACCGTGCACGTCGACGCAATTCTACACACATAAACTTGCATCGCGAAACAATCATGCCACCGGCAGCGGTTAATCCTCGAACACGGACAAGCTATAACCCCGTTTCGAATGAAAACCGATCACGGAACCCTGCGAAGCTTTCTATCGAAGCTTTCTCCCCCTAGAAGACATCGAAAACGGAGTTAACATTCCCTCGTCGGCCCGTTAAACTAAAAACAATCATTTTCGGCCCCTACACATCGAACATCACTTTGTACAGCCACTCACCACATGAGATCTATGTCTCTTCTCCTTAGAGTGATGCTTAGCGTGATGCTTGCTGCTTCTGTGAGGCGGATAAGTGTGGTAAAATATGAGGTCGAAACAAGGCTGGCGTCACCTGACCTCCGCCATGTTGCACTTCGAATGCCCTATCTGCTGGCTGCTTTGATGATTCTGATGGCTTGGCACGGTCAGGCTAGCCGAGCACTTGCTGTGCAGCTTCCTCGAGGCGCTGCTCGCCTGCAGGGTCGACGGTACATTGGCAGACTTCTCGTTGTTCTGCGTCGCGGTCTCCAAGGTCAGGGTGTTGTCGTCTAGGTCGACGGCGAAGGCGATACGATGATGCGGAGGCACGATCTTCACGTTGGACCCGATAGGCGTCACCGTGGTGGCCGGGTCCAGCTTCACCAGGGCCGCTTGCAATTCCAGGGCATCCATTTCGCGCGATCTGAACGATCCAGCCTCGCGATCTTCGCGTATCAGTTTTGGGAGTTGTCCACTGACTACCAGTGCGTTTGGACCATTTGAAACAACTTGGAAGCTAAGGGTATTGGGACGCTTGCTCGGAGAGACATGGAAACCTTCACTGGAGGGACCTGCAAGCGTCACGGACTTCTGATGAGCGTTACCGTTCGAGACTTGCTGGGATTTTACGAATTCGGGGAATTTGGGATATGTATTAGATTGTCCAGAAAGTTCGTGCCAATTTCTAAGAAAAATTCAAAAACACGTTTGAATTTTAATATATATTTATTGAATTACATAGGTGCCATTTTGTTCCACAACCTTTCCAATTTTTAAGGGATGTGTACATATTATTTGTTTTCAACCACTTCGATATATTCAGACCTGTATCACCTGCCAAAAATCGACATGGACTTTCCGGACAACCCAATATTTTGAGAAATAAGGAGGTTTTGATGGACCGATCAAGTGTGGAATTGGGATAGATTTTAGATGACAATTCAAGAGGTCAGGAGCTGGTTATCACCTGGTAGTGTGGTTTGAAATGATTTGAGGGCTGAGGACTCTGGAATACTTCTCTAGAAGAATATGGAAGCCATCACTGCATCCTTCACTTCGGTATTACTTGGAATTTGAGGACTTTCGAGTACTTATTTTGAGGTATACGAAGGGTTTTTGAAGGTTTACAGTGCAAGTGTAGAATAGTGACAAATTCTAGACGACAGTCCAACAAATCAGATGTTGTTTATCAAGTACAAGTGTGTTTTGAGATGATTTGAAGGCTCATGATCTTTGTAATGCTTCTATAAAAAGACATTTAGAGTTATAACTGTAAGCTTCACAGATTGTCTATCGGTACGTTTGGAATATTTTAGTGAAATTGATGTATGAAGACTCTGGAAAACTTTTCTAGACTAAAATTTCTAGATCTAGACTAAATATTCATTGGTTTGAGCTGGTAGTGTTCTGGACCACCTATCAGTCACTTTATGATCTCTGATTTAGGATATAAGAATTCTAAGGGACTTTTTTAGAGAGATAAAAGTCTTCAATGGTAAAAAATATCAGGTCACGAAAGAATCTCAATCATTGTCGAATAGTCTACTGACTACTGATCGATATGTTTGCACGATTTTAGGCAAAATAGGACCTGAGAATTCTGAAGCCCTTCTTTAAAAGGCCAATAAAAAGCTTGGCTGGTATTAACTGCTATCTTCAAAGATTCTCTACCAAGATGTTTGGAGACATTTGATACAATTTCGAATCTAAGGACTCAGGGCCATTTTTCTGCCAGGACCAGGAAGTCTCCAACGGTCAGACACTCAAGAGAAATCGAATTCGGGCTCACTTCGCTGACTGATGGCTGGGATATCGGATGACGTTGAGCGAAAACACCAGTTCTTCCATTTGGGGGGATCGTCGGCTCGTTTTTCACGTCTTTATCGCGCCGCTCTCTTCGTGTGGATATTTTCGTACGCAGAATGGAATCATAGGAGAATGGCTTGACCCATGGATTCTCTTCAACTCGCGCATCGAATCATCGCGGAAAAATGTTCGATCTCTATTTTTACACGCTTCCACGCCCCCGATGCTCGTTAGTTCTCGCGTTTGGGATGTCTCTCGATCAAGGGATTCGCATTATTCCGCGGGAGGATCGTTAGTCGACGTGGCAATTACTATTTCACTTTTGATCTTCGAGAGAACGAAACGAGTCACCGGTGATCGGCTCTGCTGGAAACTCTGCAAGAAGAGACGACGTTTGAGTCTCGCGAGGCGACGAGCACACGACACTCCACGGCGAGATCCGATCGATGCAATTTTAACCCTTTCCAGAGATGGAATAGTAGGAACGAAGATGAAAAATATTTTTAAAATAATTGAAACTATTTTTCTATTGATATTCAATAGTTCATTCTTTATCAAACGTTATTTGCTCCAAAATTAATTATCGTTACGTTAAGAATCTTGTGGCTACTTATTTATTTGCAATTCAATGGCATTAATCTTATCTATACATTGAATTAATCTCTTTAATGACTTTATTAATGACTTTATAGATCAAAACATTAACTTCATGATTGAATACACCCAAAAAGTATGGAGTCAGGTGTACATATGAATAATTGTTTCACAATTTCAATAGATACAATGTACAGAAAATAATGTTGATTAAATGTTAAAATGGGAGAAGTATATTGTCAGAGACACAAACGTGGGCGTGGTAAAAATGATTGTTACAAAATATACATAAACAGAAAAAACCATAAGTATATACTTTTATTAGATACAACGTATAAAAAACAACGATAAAATAAATGTTAAAACGAAAATTCAATTTTATTGAAAAATAAAAATATTATTTGATGGCGTGTAGCAACATTCCTGAAAGGGTTAAATTGCCACCGATGACGTTAGGACTGGTTGCTCTCCGCGACTCGTTGCAGGCTGCACGCGACTCTCCGAGCGATGGAAATTAGGGTTGTCACCAAGTATCAGTACGCGCGTCGGTCATTGGGACGTTTTATTTTCCTCGTGAAATCGCGTGACCGGTTCGTTACACGTAGGGGAACGATCTTTGAGATTTACCACGATGTCTGCGAGTAGTTTATTGTTCTACTCGCGTTCGAGACGTACGCTGCGTCGAATAGACAAGTTTATGCTCGGCTACGCCGGTGAACGATACTGCTGGCGTGGAACGGTAAGCTTGGTGCTTTTGTGCGCACGTTTTGCGTGATCTTTGGATTCCAACAGCAACGACACCGTACGTTGGTTGATTATTCTATGATTTCATACAGGGTGTATCATAAAATGTAGGCACAACAATGGTCAATCACTATTTTGGTCTATCTTGGAGTTGTATTTGTTTCCAGAATCTCAGTGTTTTAATCAATCTGAATTGTTCAATTTTTAGTTTTCTAATTATAGTTTTTTTTTTTGGAATTATGTTATAAAAGATTTGTTTGTTTAACATACACTGGCAAGAGAGGGTTCAAAAGGTTAGCGATTCAAAGGAGAACACTATAATTTTATAATCTGAAACTAAATATTGCAACAGCAATGGATTTTTTATGATTTTATGGGACATCCTGTATGTTAGTGCTCACAAAGCAGGGTGTCTTGAATGAAGTTAACCAACAAATGATGTCTACTGGCCAATTGATAAGAAAATGCTGTGTTTACGAGCATAGTACAAAACGAATACAAAGAAGCAGAGAAACGATGGTAGTCGTCAACTGATGGAGGTTCGATGAAGAAGATGAATGACATAATTGTTTTACACGTACAAGGTGCAACGTTAGATTAACTCGACAAAATGATTCAAGTTGTAAAACGAATCTAAAAAATAGTTAATTTATTATTCAATTTGCTAGCAGCTGTATAAAAAAAATATATATATATATTGTAACAACTTTCAACTATTTTCATTTTTCCCTGTATAATTTTTTAAATTTTGTAATAATAAGTCCCATGAGGATGCTAAATAAAATATAAATAAATTAAAAACTGCACGTCGAAATATTCTCATAATATTGTGTAAATGATTAAAGTTATTCTAGGCAGTGAACATTTTTTGTACTTTGACCAATGTTCAACTGAATGAAGACCATATCTGGTTTCAAGTAGAAATCTACTGTCACTAACCAGACACGGTATCTCTTGAAGAATTCTCTGTTCGAACAGCATGACTCAATAGTTTCACCTACAGAGTGACGGGAAGAACCGATCAATATAAAGTCTATCGATTTGTTTAGAAAAGAAACTTGCAATTGTATTTGACAATGCATCATTGCACTTATGAAGAAAGTAAATTCACAAGAAGACCCAAAGAAACATAGATTTTCAAAAACGACGACAGTATATTATAGGTATGAAAAATTAACCATTTTAGTTCTCACTTCAATTCTACGTTCAACATTAATCGTCTTACAGAACTGTAAATACGATTAAAATTAACATAAGGAAACACTTGTATAAATAATTAACAAATCCTTTTAAAACAGACTTTCCTGTCCCGAAGCTAATACAAACAATAAAAAAAGGTATGGAAAGTCCACTAAACATGAATAAAAAATTTCGAAATTCGCATTAAACATGGCCTCTAAAATATTTTCCATCATTGTAACACAATTGTACGCCTGCTGTTTCTCGAGTTGGCAGCAAAGTGTGAATTGGCCCTCGCGCCAGAAAGATTTCGGTGCGCCTTGAAGCAACCTGCCAGGAATCGCGATATTAACTATCACCTCGGGTTCAAAGTGATATCACCAATGTTTATCACCCACTTGTCATAATACTAGCCTCCTCCCGTAAACGACGAAAGTGGAAAAGGACGTCTCGAAACGCGCCGCGCGCTTTATTCGCGCTTTCGTTTGAACGACGCGGCGTCGGGTGTTATTTCCTGCTTGCAACTGGAGACGCCCAGCGTCCGTGGAACGTGATTCATACACTCGATGTCGGAAGACAGAAAATTTGCATACGACGTCTAGGTGGCTGACATCGGTGCTTTTTTTGGGAAAAGAGAAGCGCCGAGGAGGGATCGAAACCTGAGAACACTTCTCTGGACGCGTGGGCGGATCTGGCCTATACATTGCAGCGGAAATCGCTCAATGTCCTCGAACAATCGATAAGGATCCAGAAACAGTTCGAAGAAAAGCATGGGGCCGGTAAGGAGAGACGCTAAACCTCTTAGATTTATTTATATTTCAACTTCTGTAACCTCTTTATTCGGCATTGATTATTCTGGAACTTTTGTATAGGTAGAGATTTCGAAGGAGACCTGAAAGTGATGTCGAAACATGTAGAGTGGCAGCCTAGGTCTTTTTAATACCTTGTAATCAATTCCAATGGTCACAGGTACTTCATTTTCATTTTAGTTTAGCGAGATTCATGCTCTATTCAATGTTTGAAAATTGTTTAATGTATTAAGGGTTGGAAATTAATTCTATGCCTTTCTATGGTAAACTTACCATTTATTTGAAAAGAAAAATTGTACCACTTATGATCTTCCTCCAGTCATAAGAGGAATCTGTACTTTTTTTTATGAAAGTTGCTACTTGAACGTAACAAAATGCCGGGAAAATGTTCAAACTAAAGTTACAAATAGTTAAATGTGAAGATGGAAAAGTAATTTTTACACTTAATAATTGGTAAGTACACTCGTAATCTTATTTTTCTTTGTAGTTGATACTTTACTTTATCTTACTACATATTCCTTTAAATCGAAGAATTTTCTTTTACAATAAAAAAGGGGTCGAATACGAGAACAATTTTTATAATATAATAATGAAATAGAAATTGTAAGTTGTCAAGGAAGAACAGAAAATATGTATTCAAATCTCGGACAAAAATGATTAACAACGCGAAATAAACCACCAGGACGAAGACTCCAGACTTGATGACGACTTTTTTTTGAAGATGCTCACGCGTCGTCCTTGGGGCACCGAGAGCAACGTTAGCGAAATTAAAAACAACCTATTCCCATGGATTGCCTATTCGCAAGTGCGAGGCGGTCGCGGAAAAATTTTACGTTCGCTTTATGGGAGCTTTATCTTGCTTTATGCGCGGCTGGAAAGACGGTGCCTGGTGTTCGCGAAAGGAATCCCAAGGCCAGGGGTCTGGACCTCGAAAGGACGGTCAACGCACTTGGGGGATCCTTTGTGCGAATTCAATCGCGCTTCTAAATTGTTTTCGCGAAGTACAGTGAGCTGGCAGGGCCAACGACGCCCACGAAACCGACTCGATGACATGTCCTCCATTAATACCGATACGTATCTGTTCCTGAACGTGGGATCAAAGAGGGATCGAAGCAAGTTATCTTCGACTTAACGAGCCGGAGGGGTCATTGAGACGTTGACATGACAAGGATGAAGGTACTTCTTGTACTGTTGGGGATGGAGCGATACTCTGAACCTGGTTCAACTTCGTGACGATCAAATTAGAGGTATTAGAGGCACTGAGGACGAAAACAGATTTTCCTGTCTTAAAAAAGAGGTGACAATGCGAACCAAAAAGAAAGTGGATAAAGTCGGCACGTGTTTGTTGGAAAGGAACCAGAGATGTCCACTGCCTATACTACAAGGATAAAAAAGAACTATTCTGACTATGTCATAAAATATTATATATAAATGTTTTTATACTGCTGCATTTATAATTAATACATTTTGTACCCGAGTCCATAAGCTCAGTGAAAGTCTAAGACTTTTATAAGTATTACTTTTACATCATAGGGACACCGTATTCGTCTCCATTTTGTGTTTTTTGTTTTTGTTTATTCTTGCGGTCATGTTATCACATTATACTGGATATCAAGGGCGTGTAGCCCGTAAATAAAGTATTATTATTATTATTATTATTATTAAATATATAATACGTAACAACTGTAATAAATGAATTTCTCTATTTTCTAATAATTAGATAGTTTGAAATATTCTACAATAAAAATACAGAATTCACTAGTAGACTTCTTTTATATCTTTCTTAAATAGTTTAAATAGTTTCACTAGACAATTAACAACTCTTCTATTACATCTAAAAGGAATGCTATTTAATGCATCATTAATAATCATATCACAGATGAATATTTCGTCTTCTATGTCAACATTCAAACATAAACTAACCGAAATGTAATCAAACAACAACTCTAAGTATGACATTGAAATGATGATTCATATAAAAATTTTCATTGAACAGTTAAATTTCCTATTGCCTCATATTTCATTTATTGAATTGCTTGGACTCCTACT